TTTTAATGTTCAAACTTTGTTAGTGTATTCTATGGCACAAAGTAAGAAAAAAATATAGGGCTTTATTAAGAAGTTATAACAAAAATTCAGAATAGGAATAGTAATCAACTTGCTGTTACTGCGAGCATTGGCTTGAATAAATCAGCACATGCCGTGTGTTTATGTAAGCTGTGTTTATTAATACATTTCGAAATGTATTAATAACCGTTGTTGACAATACATAATTGACATCGATCGAAGATTTTTTTTTATTTTTTATTTTTTTTTTTAGTTGATTACTATTCCTATTCTGAATTTTTGTTATAACTTCTTAATAAAGCTCTATATGACCTATGTTTACATAACATTTTTTTCATACTTTGTGCCATAGAATATACTGACAAAGTTTGAACATTAAAACCTGGGACACCCTGTATAATCATAGATTTCAAATATTTAGATTGTAGATTTTTAAAGGATATGCGATGCCTATGTTTGCAATAGAAAATCGCAAAATTGGACATAAAATTTCACATTCCATAATTATCTTAGCAGGTTAAACACAATGTAACTGAATATTTTATAAGCTGAAAATATATAATAACGTGCAAATTCATCTTCATTCGTATTTATTAAAGTCAATTACTCGGTAAAAATTTCTATCCCCGGTTTCGTAAACACCTAGTAAATTATTTAACTATCTAAACCATTCGAAATAAATTCCTGCACCAAAAACAAAACATTTTCCACGTTCACTTTACATTTCCCGTTCCATAATTTTTAGTAGGTTAAATATAACGTAATGAAATATTTTACAAGCTGCAAATTATTAAAAACGTAATGTTCAAATTAAATTCATCTTCAGTCAAAATCAATTGCCAAGTAGAAATTTCTATTACCGATTTAATAAGCATCCAACGGTTTGCTTAACTACGTAAACGATTCGAAACAAATTCCTGCCTCGAAAACAAATCATTTTCAACGTTCGCTCTGCATTCCCAATCTTCTGTCTTTATATACCACCTGAATCGAAACGTGTTAAAAATTCTAGAGAGTCCGTTGCTCGTGTCGTCGTTTCTGCGCAAGTCCAAAATCTGCGCCGATCAAAACATTCATCCCAATGGACGTAATAAAAAGCCGATCAATAGCGTCTATAGAACAAGACCAGAGTGAAATTGGTTCGGAGCGGCGCAGGCCGACTCGCCGTTAAGAACAAGTTCATTATCGTCCATAAATTATGGCTTATCGCGCCGAAGTCGTGCCACGCAGATTGATCGAAGGTTCAAGAGTCAATGAAAACCAGATAACTTTTTATCGTTTCTAGATCCCAGACAGAAAAGACGCACATATCCTTCGAAAACGCCAGATTCTTTTCGCCACGACCATTTCCCGTCGAGAGCTAGAATCGTGCATCAAAGACTCAAGCAATGGAAAAAAAAACGGACAACGTTATCCCGATCGTTTATTATGCCCATATGCTTGGAGTTTTGACGCGATCGATACGTCGGCGAAGACGATCCGAAACTATCGGAAAGCAATTAGGTAAAAGTACCTATCTATGAAACACCACCTGAGAATTGTCACCCATTCTTGAAACAGTAGCACAAACGACGAAATAAAATACAGACAGAGCATACGAAAGTGGATATAAAAATGCTACGTATATTTTTCAACATTGTTCTTTATAAATTCACTCGCGCAACTACTGTTACGTAACGATCGGCTGTAAAAATATGTTTATTCGAATACAGGTGTTCCTAACGCAAGAACATACTGTGAACATATCGTGCGCTTCAATTCTCTTATTGCCCCGATTTATGGAACAGTTGGCGTCCGTGTTTCATATTCAATTCAAACGGCCGTTCCAAACTGGGAACATTGAACATAAAGAACGGGGCCACGGTACGAAAACGGTGTTCCGCAATAAGATAATATTCATATTGAATAAATATTTCGAAGTTCATTACGTTATCTAGAAACAATAATTTACCGAAACGGTAGAATAAATATGCAACGATAACTCTCTTCGAAGTAGCAATAAAATCGACGACGATCTTCTAGCCTCCGAGAGGCGTTCCACAATAGGTCCTTTTACCTGAACAGCGTTGCTGTAAATACCGGCACGGAAGAACCCGAGACGTCGCGTAGGTCTGTTGCTTTCATTCTGAACGGCCGGAGAGACATGCATCGCGTGCGCTCAAGGCCCCGGTGCAGCTGCAGCAACTATTCGATTCAGAAGCCGTGTCGATGAGTCACCGAGGCTCGGACCGTCAAAGTGTTGCCGGAGGAGATAGTTAGCACGCGAGGCCGGACGGTCTGGTACGATCGGCAGCGGAGACGACGGGCCGCTCCGAAAAATCGTGAAACCACACCAGGAAGCGTTCGCCCCATTGATACCCGTGAACAACTCCCAGGGAACAAGGGGACAACACGGTCGCGTGGGTGTGGTGCACGTAGGGAGACACGGATAGGAGGAGCACGTTCGTTGCTTGTGATCGATCGCGTCTCGAGGTCGGCCACGAAAACTTGTTCGCGGATATATTCCGGTGGCTCGCGACTGCACACACGCACCGACCTTGAGGCCGCGAACCTGAAATAAACGAACGGAAGATTTACCCTGGAGCATGTTGTGGTCGTCGCGGATGATCTCCTCGTCGGCGAGGCAACGGGCGCTGCCGATGGAAGAAGACAGCAGACTCATGGCTCCTGTTCGGGGAGGACCTGGTCCTCGTGTTCCTCGAGCCGGGTCGTCGTAGCCAAGTCGATCGGCAAAGGGGCCACGGAAAAGCCGGCTGGCTGGCTGGCTGCGCGCTCACGGGATTGGTCGGCGAACGGTTAGCGCTGCTGGCCGAGCCAATCGTCGTCGTCGCGGAGTGCAACGCCGGCACCGGCGAACAGAGGCTCTACGAACGCACCTGTCGGCCGAGCATTCGGCCGAGCATCCGGCCGACTCGGGAACGCTTCACCGCCGGTCACTTTCACTCGACGTGGAAAGGATATCGCGCGATACGCCGTCTCGCCTTCGCCGTCTGCGCGAGCGAACCACCTGCTAGCGCGATCTCGGCCGCCCGGCCCGCGTCCGCGATCCTTCTCCCCGAGGACAAGGGGACTCTCCCGTCCCGGCTCGGCGAGGACCAAGCTGAACGGAGTGGAATATGGTACGCTCCGGTTCACAGAACGATCGACGTAGTGCCCGTCGATCGCATCGCCATCCCTGGTCCTCGATCTTCCTCCGATCTCTTCCTTGGTAGATCTGTTCGACTGCGATTTCACGCGCACTACTGCCGCTCAGAGGCAGACCCGCCTCAGATCTGCCTCGAGTCTGCTGTACCGGTACATCTATCGGCTACCTCGGCACCGAGAACGGAAACGCGCGAGAACCCTGTCCAGCACCGTTGCTACGTAGCGAAAGACGACGACGCATAACGCGTGCAGGGACACCAAGCACCACCAACAGCCGCGATCAATAAGCGCTGCCACGGCGTCTGCGCCGACAATGCGATGCCACGACGGACGCGAGAGGAGAGAGACAGGGACAACGGGCCGCCGCCGTCGGTGTGTCGGACTGTCGGTGTGCCGGCCCCGCTATTGACGCCGAGCCGCGTCGCGTATCGACGATTTAGGGTGCTCCCCAGTTCACGCCGCACGACCTCGTGGGAGGGAATGACTGCGTTAATTGGTTCTTAAAGTTTACCGGCTGGCTCCTTCGCTAATCAGTAGAGGTGGAGAACTATCGATGGTACGATCGATAATTGTCGATCATTCTCGCTATCGACAATTATCGATTGTTTTTGCCCGTACCATCGATCGTTCCGATCGGAATAATCAATATATCGGAAGACAATTTATATCAACTTTTAGATATTTCTGTCTTACATTTGATAAAATCTTTATTTCGATACTCCTACTATTTATAGGCGAATGAAAGTGCCGTAAATTCCTCGCCGAAGATACGCAAACAATATTTCTGTATACCGGCACCTTCGGTAGAGCCTGAGTGAATATTTAGCAAAGCAGGATGAATAACGTGCGACGGAGTGTCAAAATGCTGTAACCAACGCTATCGACACCCTCCTTTTTTTTAAAATGAAATTGTTGTCATAACTTGTAAAGTTTGTCGCAGTTATTTTTATTATGTTGTGTTCTATTATTGTATTTTTATTATATTGTAAAAAGAATATAATATAAAACTTCTATATTTTTCAAACATGGCACTTCTAAAGGTACTATGTCGGGCATCAATCGATTCACATATTTCATGTAATTAAATGTGCGATTTGCAAAAGAAGTCGACGATTGAATAAATCGATTGATGCATGTCAGTTGATGAAACTAATGGGCGGTTCCGGTCTAGAACTTGAAAAGAATCGTAGTCTTTTTCTCTCGTTTTTCACTTTCTACGATATTTCAAGAATATGTAGTTAAAAGGAAATTTCAAAATCGCATAAGCACTTTTCATCACGTAAAACTTTAAACGCGTTTTTCTCGGAACATCAGTTTTCGAAGAGATGAGACAAATATCTCGGAAACTAATTGATCAATTTAAGCAAATGTTCTTTTAATTGAAGAATATACTTTACCGCAGGCAGTGAACTTTTTAATATTCCAAGTTTCGCCAAATTTACTCATTTTTAAGAAATTGTGGCAAATTCGTGACAAAAGTGATGTTTGACTTTAAAATGCCAGAAAATGATTTGAAAAAAGTAATTTTGTGTACTTTCATAGGTTTACAAGAATTTCTTGACAACCTCTATAGAACATGGCCTGTTCCTTCTTGATAATTACATAAAATAAAAAATAACATAATTTTTGAAAAGGTACATAATGAAATATCGAAAACCCCAGATTATCATCTTATTTAGTTTCGTTATAAAAAGATCTTCTTTGTAGCCTCCTATACCAGAATCTCACTTTTATCGTTAATTGTCAATTGAAAGATAACTAATCATTATTGATCTCTTGATTAATAATTGCAGCTGGTTTATCTCATCCTATAAAAGTTATATAATTGCAGTTATTTAGATTGCGAGTAACATTTCTGTCACTGAAACTGACCCCTGGTCATGCAAATGCAGTTGCTGCAAAATTACGCTTTTCATGTTCTATATTATTTCTTTGTTATTTATTTTACATCATCTTAGAATCCTCAACGTATGCATACGCAGAATGCTATTATGAATTGCATTACATTTAATTAATACAGTGGAATTTTTAAATAATTTCTTGGTTCATAATCAATGATTTTGGATTCGTCAATAAATAACGTGGGATTCTTGGTATAATAGGTCGATTATATTGGATTTAAAACGCATGTTTAATGTACATCTACATTTAAATTCTAAGAAGTAATTTAAAAAGCAAGTTCGTTATATTTAATAAAACTCTCTTACTTATTTCGATGTGAGGATGAATAATTCCTAAGTATATGCAGAGCGTCATGTATTGACGACACAACGGGAGGGATAATCCTACACTAAATAATAAAACGAAAATGTACAATACAATTTTTTTAATAAATAGGGATAATATAGGAAAAATTTTAATGAATAGGAGTCGTCAGACGCGTCTGATCATTGCCCACCGATTCTACTTCTCCACTTCTCTAAAGCAAAGCCACAAACGAACAAATTTTATTCTTCATTTTCGTCTCATCTTTTTATGTAGAATCCACCCTTCCTAGTTGTATCGCCAGTTGCGTGACACCGTGTATATTCCTGCAATTGTTATCTTTATTTATGCAAAAATAATTTCAACAAATATCGAAATAAAGTATGTGAAACCGGTCAGTTTGACCGGCGTGAAAAGTTTATAATATTAAATGTTAGAAATATCACAATTCAGTACATTTTGGGTACACGATACGTGGCAAACTTGTGGCAAACTAATAGCAATTGTTTAAATAATTGCTTGAATTCTATATCCAAAATGAAGATCAAACAAGGAAAAGAATTGATAGATACTATATTTTTATCTTCGAAATAAGCGAACAAATTTTGAATGAAAATCATCCAATGGGTTTCGAGAAATCGCAGTCACGGTTTTTAAACAGCTAGCTTCGAGAAACACGCAAGTGTTGTTCGAAGTTCTGTGAAGCGCGCTAACTAACAGCAGCATGCTTGAACCACTTGCAACTTTGTGCACGTTGCTTGGATCAACTTGAAACTTTCTAGAGATATTTTCATGGCGTTGTATTCAAAAGTATATATATATAATTTCGAGGAAAGAAAACTTAACACTTCTGAGAATTTATATTCCTCGAATAATTTTAGTGACAAATTATTGCATACTTACTCGCTATTAGGAAATCTCATATTAATTGACATAATTGTTATTTCGAATCTCATTTATTCGCCAGAGTTTATAAAGTTAAAAGTTATGAAGTTATAGATTTTAAAAATTAGAGTGGAATAGCTAGTTAATTTTCATTGTAGTAGATATGTAGGCATATTTTTTCAGTATTCTTACCAATCATTAATTCGCTCAAATTCTTTGAAATGTTCAAATTTAATATTTATTTTATATATATTATATTAAATATATATTTATATTTAATTTATATATATTTATATATATTTAATATACATATATTAAATATATATTTAATATTCTTTACAATAA